TCGCCCCTGCTGCAGCGGGTGCAGTCGGCGGAAAAGCTAGGAGCACCAATTCTGCCTTCTTCCTCTTCATCATCATCGTCGCCTTCTCCTCTGACAGGTGGGGTGTCGTTACGCAAGCATAGCCTGGAAGTGGCGCATGGTGACTACAGGAGAGAGTCCTTCCACTGTGAGCACAGCCTACAAAGTCTGCTAGAGATAGAAGGAGAGAATGGCCCTGCTCCCCCATCTCCTTCATCATCATCCTCCCCCTCTCCTCCCATGGGAGGGGAGATTGGAGGCCTGAAGCCTCTAAGGAGGCTGGGAAGGCAGGAGTCACCGCTCAGCCGTGACACACTGCTCACAGCAAGAGAGAAGGATACTCAAACCACAGCATCTGAGCTCAGCCAGTTGCAAACTGAGGGCACAGCTGCTAAAGCTGAGCCCAAAACCAACGTTGTTGTAAGTCAAACATTATCCTCTGTTGATGTTCTGAAGAAAAACATAAGTGTATCTGCGGTGGAGACAAAGTCCAGTCCAGCACTGGTTTCATCCACAACAGAGGCCAATCCTAGCCCAGGGGACAAACCCCAAAATGCAAGCAGTTCCAGTTCTGAGGCAACAGGCTCCAAGAGTAAACTCAGTGAGAAAATATCAGTTCCTGGCACATCAAAGGGCCTCCAACAACAAGACAGTAAGCAACAGAGTGTTCAGACAGGCAGTGGACCTGCACCTAAAGCTAAGGAGAAGACTGAGGAGAAAGTGAAAAGCACTGCAGGTACAGACAAAGGAAACATGCAGAAAGTCTCATCAGCAGAGCAACCCAAGCCACGTAAAGGCCCAGAGGCAGAAGAGACAGGAGGCATCGTTGGTGAAAAAGCAACAGAGACGACCAAGGTCAAAGGACCTGCGCCCCCAATTCCCACACAGGTTCAAACCCATGCTGCAGCTCATGTGCCAGCTGCTCCCAGACCCAAAGTGGAAAGGGTATCAAACAGTTACCGCGGGGCCAAGGAGGAGAGGGCCCACTTGGAGGTCCTGGAAGAGAATCCCATGTCGCCCTCCTCTAATGCAGCTTCACCCTGCTTGAGCAAGTCTCGCCCTATGTCTCCGGGAGAGAAAGCCAGCTTTGTCACCCAGCTCACGAGTGTGGCCAAAACAGTGCTCGGACCTATGAAAGGGGGATTACAAGAGGGAGCCAAGGTAAAAGACACCTCCAAGTCAAGCGAGGAGAAGCGAGGGAACACGGCAGGAAAACCAGAGGCTCCATCTGGGGGCGGGCGTCGGGGGGCGCAGACAGCCACATCAGCAAGCTCTGGCACAGGCCAGTCTGAGAAAGGAAACAGTCGGAGCTCCAAGCATCATTTGTGATACAAGAGCTTCAGAAAGAGTCAGACTCTCCCATGCAATGCCTTTTACTGTAGCATCACACCGACATATCACAAATAAACATGACTTTGAATGGAGGGGACACAGAAATGCCCGAAGAAATAACAGATGACGTGACATGAAGATGTGAACAAAGATGCATCAGTCATGTTGGAAAACGTGCACTCATGGTGTCATAATGTAAGCCCGTGTATGTACTGTATGTTCATCACAATGTGTTGTGTATATAGGAAAAAATGTCATAATGCATGTCTGACGCTGTATATGGAAAATGAAAGAATATTTAAAAAGATGAAGAATATAAAGCAGACCTTAAGGTGGTGAACACTGTGAACATCTTTTCAACCGACCACAACAGACAAACTGTTAACTATGTGTAAACAAGCAGAATCCAGTTATAAACGGGCCTTACTCCCATTTCAGATCAGCTACAATTGTAATTTAGTTCATGTGTAAGTTTTTACTTTGGTTGTAATTGTAGAAGACAAACACACACTGTATTTCCTTAAAGGTCAGTTACTGAAAGAGAATAGGCTCATGTCGTGTAGTGAGGAATAGAACAAACAGGACCCAGATACCAAAATGCTTGCAGTGATGTACTTTGTGGATGGGCCAATCGGCTGGTTTGCTGTAGATCTGTTTAAGGGCTGAATTTCAGTGGAAAGGAAAGAGGTAGGTGAACTTGCACAGGGACACTATGCAATTTGCTAATAACGCCACTTTTTTTTTGGTGTCCCCAATTACTCAGTTTACATTGTGCTGCGGACAAGAAGAGAAGACAGAGAAAAGGGTTGCAATAAGACGAGAAAACACAGCGATGTCTCCATTGATAGTAGTGAAATGTGCAATGATATATTTTAGGCTGTTGAGTTAGTGTGTTCGGAGTGCAGTGAGGAGAAAAATTGCGGAAAGAACCATAATGAAAGTAGGCTAGAAGATGCTCTTTCACTCGCTCTTTTCTGTTTATGCAGATGTACGGTATATTGTGTAATGTTAGGTGTGAAGGAAAGTGCCAGTCTTTTTATTTAGAGATAATGTGACTGTTTTTGTTTACACTTAAATGTATGATAATATGCAATCCAACAGTGCCCAGGTCCATAAAACTGAGCACCCTTGTCAGTGAAATAGAGGTAGACTATACACAAAGCCAGGAGTAGTCTTGTTTGTTCTTGTGTATTACAGAGAAATGATCTTGTTCATTTTGGGACACCAGGCTCAGACCTGTCTTAGACTGCCTCCTTGTGGGCAGCTTCTCATGACACCAGTAGTCCTGAGGTACAAAGAATAATAGGTGTAGTCTGATTTCTTCTGCCTGTGGATCTTTCCATGTCATATAACTATTCGGATGCATACTTCCTTTGTTGATGAACACATGTAGATCAATTTCAGATGAGTTTTGCAGTCTGAGTTTAAAAAGTCTTGAATTTATCCATTAGGATGTAGTGGGCATCAGAAGTGTTAGCCCAATGTTTGGACATTAATCACTTGTGGTTTTGTGGGTAATGTGAAAAATCTGCACTTTATTTTGTGTCAAATATTTTTATTTACTTGTTCATTTAATACTTTTTCTATTTGTTCTATTGATTAAAGTGTTTTATTTATTCAAACGTTTTTACATAACATCAGTTAGTGAATTTCTGCGTTACTGCTGAAATTAGTTATTTATAAATTTTACATTTTGACTGAGAAACCTACCAAATCTGTGTGGCTGCCCCATTGTGTACAGTTTTGACTCTGTCATTCAACAAGTCCAAAGTCGTAAAATTACTGTCATGCCCATCTTGTCCAAATGTTTGACTTCTTTTTTTCTAGTTCTTGTTGTTTTCCATTGCATTGCTACATATTTATTAGCCACCATTGTGAAATAAACCAATGCAAAAAAAGCCTATAGTGCAGAAATGTAATAAAATGCAGAGAAACCCCTTGTTTTGTCTGACCTTTTTTTCAGATAAAACTACATAATGGTATAAAATGATCATCCAGAGGGGTAATCAGGGGCTCCAGCTGTCGGAGGGTAGGATTAAATATTGTTTTGTACACGGCTGTGACTTCATGATAGTATCTAGGTGTACGAGGCTTATAAAGGGGTATCGCCCAGTTTGTATACATCTGCAGCTGCTTTTTTTCTGGATCAGTCATAACGTGCAAAAACCCACACAACTTCTGTCTGTGGTAATATCAAGGTATTTCTTTGTGAAACTTTAAAGTTTTTATAATGGGATAACCACAAATGTGGCCAAAGAAGTATTTACAGTTTATAGCTTATTCAGGTATGACATTTATGTGATTATAGGCAATGTTAGAAGCCTATTGATGCCATGCCATAAGTGTTTTTTGGCCTTCTTTGCAATTTTCTGTGCCAAACAATCCAGTCCTTTTATTTTTTTTTACCCGTTTAAATAGTCCTACTACAACCCATACAAGTTTTCACTTGCCAAATAGTGATTGCAGGATCTAGCCTACTTTGTGACTGACAGCTTGTTTCTGCCTTGGATAACTTTCTTTCACTCACACTGATGGTTAGCCTATATTTTAAACATTCCTTCCAGTGATTTTTACCAGTTGAAATAGGCTAGATTTAAAGGGCCCCTACCTGATTAGGCTTCTATAATGTTTTTTAATGACTTGATTTTATTTTAGCCAAACCATGACTGACTAAGAACATTATGTTCCAGGGGAGTGGGTTAGGGTAACCGCAGTTAGTAGCATAATCTACACCCTTGGCTTTTCCCAGTAGTAAAGGTAGACATGAGTATTCTGCAAAGGAAAAGAGAATGGTGAATTAATGAGCTAGGAGTTAAAACAAGTATAAATAAATAAATAATCATTAATTTTGCTGACGCTTTTATCCAAAGCGACTTACAATTGCTACAGGGGTGGTGGTTAGGAATGAGGTAACTTGGGAATAGTTATAGGCCTACCTATTATCTTAAACTCTACACAGATGGGTCTAAGAACAAGGATTGTGTGGGAGTAGGTGTACGTCCCTGAGATTAAAATATCTACGTCCCAGTCTGACAAGTAAATAATATAGCAGAAATAGTGTCAGCCAGTAGGTTGAAGAGGTCAGACCTGATAGGGTAGTTATATGCAATTGATTCAAAAACTGTCAGACTCATTGAATTTTATAGCTTGATAAGACTCCATAGATGTGGTATAGAGGTACAGGTCTATTGGATGCCAGCACTTGAGGGGTTGAAAGGGAATTAGTGTGCTGATAATCTAGCAAAAATGGACATTGCAAACGGTAATAACAGTGGGACCAGTTCCACTTGGAAAAGGAGAAGGGAATGGAGATGTGGCAGTATGTATGGGGGAAAAGAACAGTGACCATGGTGTGGACTGTGGAGTTAAAGAAATTGTGGAACCTGCCATGTTGCATTTCTATAGACTAGGGTAAACAGGAAGGCACGCTTTACTTTATTAAGTGACTTGAGGTTGGTAGGAAGAATTTAATAATGACATGATGTTATCTTAGGCTATGTGCGTGCAACTTAAAGTTGTTGGCGATCCGCCAGCAATCCGAGAGAAGAAGAAGAAGAAGAAGAAGAAGAAGACGAAGAAGATAATCCGCGGCTCACTATCATTGGTCCTCTGTTGACCAATCACAGCACCGCCAACACGTGACCAGTATAAACAGGAAGTGAGTGGGACAAGTAGTTCACTGCTCTGCTGTCTTTCGTAGATTATTTAATCGAAACGAAAACGGGCTGGCACCTTCAGTGAAATTCATTCAGTGACTTGCTCTAATTTAAGGAGACAGAATGACCATGCCCGAATGAAGGTAAAAGATGACTGTCATGCATTAATAATTTTAATAAGTTTGGCTGAGCGCGGACGGGCTCTGAAGTTCGATGCCAAAAAGTAAACGGGTGGACATTTTTATACCTTACATGTTTTTAGACCTCGAGTTGTATTTAATTCGTAGTATCAGAAATCTTGCAGAATAACATGTCAAGAAGGACAAATGGGCACCATTTTGTCTTATTTTGTCTAACCAGCAGTTTTTAAAAGTTACATTTCATCACATTAAGTCACTGAAATGATCAACAGACTTGCCATTGATTTATTTTCTATCAGCACTTCCAAGCATGTAGTACTATACAGAGTATCTGTATGAAAGTAACATAATTGGGGATTTTATTGTGCGAGTTAAATATAAACATCTTCAGCTACAAAAGCTCTACATAAGTTGAACATTTTACCACATGTATGATTGTTATGGATGCTCTCATATAGGTTTTTGAGCGGTGGGTTAGTTCTGACATGGAAAAGGAAGGAAAACTTGATTTTTAACTAGATATTTTTTTAATGTAGTAGCCTACACTCATGATGGATGGGGATGGAAAGTAACTAAGTACGTGTTGTGTAAGTATTTAAGTACTGCAGCACAGTTTTTGAGGTAGGGCTACTTGTACGTGAGTGTTTCCATTTTATGCTCCTTTAATCTACTCTGCTACATTACAGATTGTAATATTGTACTTTTTACTCTCCTACATTTATCTGAAAGTTCTCAGTTCATTTTCTGATTAAGATTTTATATAAAAAAGATATGAAAACCTAATGAAGTACAGCACATTTGCAAAGATTAAACCAGTTTTCCAGTAGGGCTGCAACAATTATTATTAAAATTATTTAATAATTAATAAGTACTTTTGCAATTAATACTTAAAGTACATTTTGCTGATAATACTAACTCTAATTTAAAAAAATTTTCAGTGCAGGACTTTTACTTATAATGGAGTGTTTTTACATTGTTGGATTGGTATTTTTACTTAAATAACTGAGTACTTTTTCAACCACTGATTACACTACTGGTTTATACAGTGACAGTGAATGTGTGACTGCTGCTTGTTGCAGTCATCCTGTCCTACTGCAGCTAATTGGACATATCTGACATTCCTTGAGTCACACGGTGCGGTCACATGGTTTCCCTCTTTGCTAACTGTCATGGAGAATTATTAACATTTACCCATCAGTTCCAGGGGCAGAACGTTTTTACATTGCATGTGGCTGAATAACCCATCAGGGTCTTGTGTCACATGTATGTGATGTTGTTTTATGTTCCTTCTGTGTCTTCGTAGGCTGCTATAGCGATAAGGAGCAGTTCTCCAGTCTAGGTCATCTCCAGTTGTTATGAATCCCAGCACCTCCTTAGCTCACTGTGAGGGCCAGTCCCCTGTAGACGACCAAATGGACGACTGGCTCTTCCTCTCCACTGAATCTGCTGGCCCTCAGGTCCTGGCAGTGAGCAGGGAAGACCGGGACACAGAGGAGCGAGGCAAACTCAAATCCAAGTTGGTCTCGGCATGGAACAGTGTCAAATATGGTCTGACATAGTAACTGTTTTCTTTTGTTACTATATATTAAGACCAGATCTGATTGTTACCTTTTCTCTTGTCAGATAAAACTGTTTTCCTTCCTTCTTCCTTTTTTTAAAGCTTCAGGCTGGCCCTTGATGCAGAAATCCAAATTCAGCAAGAGTTCTCCTGTGATCATGCTTGGACGGTCCTATGAGTTCAAGGATAAAGGTGAGGCCTTCATACCTCCTGAAATGATCTCGTTCATGTGATTCTAAAACCAACCGGAAATTTTAATTCAAGCTCTGTACCTTTGTCAGAGGAGAGAGACTGTTTCCGTCGCTCCTTTGCATCTCTCCTGTGGTTGACGTACAGACGAGGTTTTCATCAGCTGGCGGGCTCCTCTCTGACCACCGACAGCGGCTGGAGTTGTGTTTTACGCACGGGGCAGATGCTGCTGGCACAAGGCCTGCTCCTACACCTGATGCCACCAGGTGACAGTACACACAGGCACACTGCAGTGTTATCTATCTTAATATCATTGTCAGGTAGAATCAGATGCTGTGCTTTTTAGCTAGGCTAGTTAGCTTTAAGCAGGACTAATTTAACTGGTGTTTTTTTTTTTCTCCATTACGATTTAGATTTAGCTAAGATGTTGGAGCATCAAAATATATTTTTCAATTACTGGAAACTGTTCAGAAAAGGTCTGTAAATTAGCTTCAACCAACCTGCTGTTTGGTTTTTATGTCTGTTTTGTGCTGTTTGTTTTGATACTTTTTTTTGGGGGGGGGGGATTACACATTTAATACTTTTTATATGTTAAAATAATATGTCAAAAAGACAGATTCTTATCTTGAATTTTGATCAAATATTTAGTTATTGTGGCTTGGCTTTTTATGGCAGTACAGGGTTGTCATGCTAATTGTGAACATAAGCAGGCTTCTAAATGCACTATACACAAGTGTAAATATCTGTACAAAAGAGAACAAAATAAGAAAATATGATATTGAAGTTTCTGTGCTGAACGGGGGTAGACGTAGGTCACATCTACTCATAGTCAAAAAAAATTATAAAACCATAAATTCGCAAAAGAAAATCAATACAATATTTTTTTGTGATTGGACTAGAAATGTGGGTCCATAGTAATTTAGTAGTTAAAGAACACCGTTACATAGGGACTTAAAATATCAAAAGCTGCAAACTGTCAGAGTACATTTTATTCCCCTCATTCCTGAATGACAAATTGTGAGTGAAACCACATTTTCTTCTCTGTTAACGACAATGGGAAAACAAAGCAGTCTATCCAGGTGAAAAGCAGATATCAGGTGTGTCTTTAGTTACATAGTACAAAACTTATTTTACTGTATCTTTACTTTCATTTGGAGGTTGGACTTGGTCTGTGAGCCACCATGCGGTCAAAGATGACATGGACCTGCTGGTGAATCGTTCCGCAGACGGTGGACAGCGTGAAGGGCCCAAAACGAGGTGTCGAAGGCTGAGCTTGGATTCCTGCTTGGACAGACCCATGGAGGCTAAACACAGAATGGTGGTATCGTGGTTTGCAGACCATCCTACAGCGCCTTTCGGGATACACCAGCTGGTAGAGTTGGGCAAAAGCTCAGGGAAGAAGGCCGGGGACTGGTACGGACCTTCCATTGTGGCACATATCCTCCGGTGAGATGTGAAGTCATGATTTACCAGTCCAATTATCCTTACCAACGTTTATAAAGATGTAACATCCTCCAGTAAATTTAAATTTTTGTTACAGGAAAGCTGTGGCAGCATCTGCAGACCTTCCCAATCTAGTCATATATGTTGCACAAGACTGCACCGGTGAGTAATGTCTTCAATCTGTGTATTTGCTCTCTCCTCTGATGCAAATGCAGCTGTGCTCAGGGACGGACAGTTGTACAAACAGAGAATTGGATCAGTGTTATATGCTTATTTAGACATTCCTCTTTATTATTGAAGAGGTATTTCATTTTAGTATTTTTTTTTTAATTTTATTTAGACAGTTGTAAACTAGAGAACACAGTTGCACATACTGACAGCCTCATAACTATAGTTTTAATACAAAATGAAAATGGTCATAACTCACTCACCCTCACTAATCATGTTAGCCTGTATAGCTCCATTTTGGATTACACAGTAAAAGCAGCTGAGGAAAATACTTTTGAGCTGTAAATTGTTTTCCATCTGAGGGAGATGTTTTTTATGAAGTACTTTTGGGTTCCCTCGCAATACATTTTGCACTCCATACATTTATAACTCAGTACTCCTTTCAAAACAAAACTGACAGTAAACAGCCATTGACTGTGAGCACAGCTGGGGCTGTTTTGTCCTTGGTGAAGCTGTGGATGTGGTTATTGCTTGGTCCACGGCTGCATATGTGGTTAAATCTATGACGCTATAGATATGGCTTCGGTAGCTGTACTGTGAAAACTTTTTAATCCTCAACCAAGTCCAGTTGCTCTTAATTTTAACCTTCTTTGGATATCTTTACTTCTCCTATTAACATTAGCTAAGAAAGCCTTATCTACACATATGACACATGTGACCTCCAGAAGGAGTTCAGGAATACAGTAACTTCACTGTAATGCTCAGCCAGCACACTCATGTCAACTCACTCAGGAGTTACTGATCCATGTGGACGTATACGTGTGTCTCCGTGTTTTCAGTCTACTTGGAGGATGTGACAAAGTTGTGTGAGCGGCCTCTCCCGCAGTCCTGGAAGTCTGTCATCATCCTGGTTCCTGTTCGGCTTGGAGGACAAGATCTCAATCCCTCCTACATCACCTGTGTCAAAGTATCCAAACCATCTTTTATACATTCTCTCCAATATACATCCAGTGTAAACTGAGTAGTTTATTGGGAAACATTTAACACCAGTGGTGGGGTCCTTGTGGCTGTAATTCTTTTACCAGTTTCCACCAAAAGTAGTACAGCTACACTATAATTTATTATAAAGTAACTGATTACAGTATTTTAACTTTGGGTTTCAGGTTCAGTAATAAAGCAACATCCCCCTACATGTTACTCTGTAATCTGAAAAACGAAAAATCCCTGCTCTGAAGCAAGCAAACAATGATGGATGAATGAGAACAAAGAACAACAACTTATTCCTTGATCTTTTCCATAGAAACTCTTGACATTACAATGCTGCATTGGAATCATTGGGGGGAAACCAAAGCACTCTTTGTTCTTCGTCGGCTTCCAGGGTATGTGCGGTACAATATAAATAATAATTACTGTGCTCATCTGTTTGACGTCAGTCCTTTCACTTTTTATTCCTTCCCCTTGGCCCTGCTGTGCAAAAGATGACCATCTGCTGTACTTGGACCCTCACTACTGTCAGCCCACAGTGGATATAACAAAGGAGAACTTTCCCTTAGAGGTATGAGGAAGTACTATTTCTCTTCTTTTTGCTTTCCGTTTTGTTTCCTCCTGTGACAGCTGTTAACCAGTGGGTTCCCAACCTTTTTTCAGATGTAGTCCCAAAGCCTTATTAGATGACCCTTCATCAGTACAATTCAAAGTACCCTTCATCAACACCGCCAGTCATGTTCCAATTGTGTTAATTTGAATTGATTTTAAACTGCATTGAATTAAACACTTTTAACTATATAATGGATATTCTTAGAAATTTAGCTGCATGTGTTTTGGTTTGTTTAACTTGCTTTCAGACTACTTGTTGCAGAAGCTAGATATTTCAACCATTTATCCATTTAAGCAAACTGTTTCAACCATTTATAAATTACTTCTAGCTAACATTCGCTAACTATTTAAACTTCCTTTATTTGTAACTCTTTCGACTATTTATCCAATACTTTTGGCTACCCCTGCCTTCGCTGACTTTTAGATATTTCACTTATGTATTTGTTATTTTTAGCTATTTTGACCTTTTAGCTATTTTTTACTTTGAGTTGTTTTGACCATTTATCCATTCTTAGCTTATCTTTTCAATCAGTTATCCATTATTTTCAGCTAGCTATTTAGACTAATTGCAACTCTTAATGTACTCTGCCATCTATCCATTTATCTCCTGGCAACTGCAAAAGTACCCCCTGAGTTACAAGTACCTGGTTGGGAATCGAATCGATAACATCCACATCAGACCTAATAGAAATATTTTCTGACTCCAATGAGACTTATTTCTCATCAGTATTCTTTTCTTGTGCTTCGTCTACACACCACTTGCAGTCGTTTCACTGTAAAAATCCCAGGAAAATGGCTTTCTCTCGCATGGACCCCAGCTGTACCATAGGATTCTATGCTAAGGACCAAAAGGACTTCAAATCACTGTGCACAGTTGTTAATGAGGTATGTGATTGGGTTATTTGGGTCTCTATTCATGGAACCCTTGGATGGTTAAAATGCAGCTGTGTAGTTTTTGGATAGTATAGCATAACTCAATATTTGTCTCTTAGTGTGCAATTGTCATACATGCAGAAAAGTGATGATGTCATTTGACAAAACAAAATGTTTTAGGGTTGAATCTTGATTGTCTTGAACTGGTTGAGTTATTGTTCTGTTTCTCCCATAGACTCTCTCCACATCTGCAGAGACATACCCCATGTTTATATTTGCAGAAGGAAAAGGTCAGGAGGAGGAGTCGGCAAGCAATACACCCACAAACAATGTCACCTACATCCAGAGGAAGAACGAACGGAGAGGAACCGACACTAGCATGGACGAGTTTGTTCTGTTATGAACATAAGAAGATAAACTCTTCCCTCAAGGCTGTACAGTGATCAATGATGTGACAGTTAAGCTGTGTATCGACTACTGAGCGTAAGAACAAAGTCCTCAACATCCACTAGCAGCAAGCTCAAGGGACTCCCTAAAGGTTTTGTAAAATGTTCAGGTAATATTTTTTTATTGCGGTTTTGTGCTCATTTGTGTTTTTATTTATTGTTTTAAGAGGAGAACATTTAGATATTATTCAAATTGAAGGGTGAAGGATGGTTTCTGTTTTGCCATCTCAGCCTTTTTGTGTTCTTGAAAACTTAATTTATTCAAAAGAATAGAAATAGAATAAATGATAATGATTTCCTTCCAGGGACAAACTTAAGGCAGGTATTACTTTGAGAAACACTCTCTCACTGTTTCATGTCATGTGACAGGATGTGCTGCCTTTGAATGGATTAGAACATTGGATTCCTGTGAACATGTGACTCACATGAGAAACACAGAAAGAACATGGCTTTACTGGAGAAGAAGTTAAATGTTGTGAATGTACTCTTGCAGGAAAAGGACAATTTACTGAAAATATTATTATTAGCGGGATCGTTTTATGCTGTCTTTTATCTGAATAAAAACAATGTAAAGACAAAAAGACCGGAACTCACCACAACACCATCCTCCTACACCGTATTTACATGGTACCTATAGTTACTAAGTTATTACTGTGGTGTAGTGGTGACTTTAAGTGCTGCTTTCTGAGCTTTTAGGGACTGTCTGAAAAGTATTGGGGTGGCAGGCAGATCTTTTATAAAAAGCAAGGTCCTACGCTGCATGATAAATATTTTTTTTCTGACTCAATCCCCTCTGCCCCATACCTAAAATAAAATATTAGTAACATGTACAGTAGCATGCTGGACTTAACATAAGGTATGCAGGTTAGATATTTTGTCCGACTTTCGCCGGCACTGCAAAACGTCACCATGTCACATGACATTAAAACCTCACTGGAGCAAAGCACATTCTACCTCCGGCTAACAGGAGGTAGAATGTGCCTGACTGGACGGCAGTGCTTTTATGCCCTGCTCCTGCAGTCGGCAACAGCTCACGTTTGACTGTTAAGTCGGCAAAAGTCAGCCGCAGTCCTCTCGAACGCACCTATTGACTTTGGTGATCCCCCAACTTTTCCTCAATCACCACCATGGTGATACTGGTTTTAAGTAAAATGTGTCAACAACTAATGGATGTTCTGGGATTATAAAAAGTTGAAACACTGTACTCTGCCCTCCCAAACAATATAGACTGCATTCCCTTGAGCAAGTATGAAAAGTACAGAAACCTCCTCCTTTTCTGACCACCTACCACCCCTAATAATTTTTGTACAGTCCCTTACATGCCTTACTCTGTAGGCACAGCCCTCATGTCTCGACCATACTGCTGGAAATACAGATGGGCATGGTACTGAATTTCAGGCAGTACTAGACGTATACAGAATCCCTGCTCCTGCTTGGTCAGGTTCCCCTGTACCTGATAACCCAAGATAGTGACTGAATCACTCTGCCAAGGTCTTACTAGGTCCTCAAGTTCCCCAGGAGGCACCCCATTCCTGGCCACACATTTCTGTCTGATTGTGTCTGTGGAGGCCCGCAGTAGAGCCACCTCTCTGTTCAGCCTCTCCAGCCCATACTGCTCTGCCTTCTCCCAGAAGACCTGGAGGAAATAGTCATACAGCAACACGTCCAGGCTGTTCCAGGCCCGGATCCTGGCTTTGGTTATGTCGTCCAGCGGAGTGACATCCTGAGGAGAGCGAGTGTTAAGGCGAACGTAGGCTAGTTCCTCAAGCTTCAGGTTCAGCAGGGCCCCCAGGAGGACCAGGGACTCATCAAAATGCTCTGCGATCATAACTAGCTGGAAGGTCTCCTCCAGCAGAGTTAGGTCAGCTGGCCAGGAAGAGATCCACTGCTGGCTGTTGAGACCTAAATCAAAGCTCATGGGATTTTTTCCTAGACCATTACCAGGCTCGTTGGGGTCCCAGAATGAATCCGGAGACTCCAGGAAAACCGACAAGGCTGATTTGTGCTCTGCTGTCTGTTTGGCTAAGGTGAAAGCAGGAACAGTGGTGGTGTAATAGGAGAAAACGGACTCAAATGTCTGTAGAGGTTCACGAAGGATGGTGATGTAGATGGCGTTTGGTGGCATCACCTGTTTCAGCTGTACCACGTCTAGACGCATATGGCTACAAAGTATGTCGTACTGAGAGTAACCATCGGGTAACTCGTCCACAAATTCTGCCCTGAATCTGGAAAGGACAAAGGAAGGTGTAGTTTGACAGTCGCACCAAAAGCAGAGCTATCCTAGAGATTTGAGATGCGTGTACTAAAGCATAGTCAGGGTAGCGTACTTATCTGGATAGCCGAACTGGTAGGTGTAATGAGGGAAAGCGAATGTGGCTCTGTTCTTCTCTCCCATGCGAAACAGCAGATTTTGGACAGTACTGCTTCCTGTCTTGTGTGTTTTAAGGAAAACAACAGGAGGACTCTGTGTCCTTTTCCTCAGTATATTATAAATATTGGCATCCTTATGATCCTGTGCACCAGAGGGCTGAGTGTTACTTCTTCTTTTGTGGTCTTGGTATGGTTTGTTAGGTCTGTGATTGGCATTCCCACCATAAGCTAGTCCCTCTCTATTCTCCACTGGCTGCTTACTCCAGCCTTTGTGCCAAACATGAGGGCTTTAGAAAGAAAAGAAAATACAAGGATTCAACAAAATAAGTACATATTTCATAAGAATATATGCAAGATTGTAAGCCTTGCTGAAATAATAATTGTTAAATGTGGATTTCAAACTGCTGTAGTGCAATTTTACTATTATGTACACTGCTCAGTATTGTCATTCATTACAAAAAAGCAGTGCTACAGAATAACTGCAGACTGAGGCATACAGTGTAGGGAGTTAAATCCTGTTACTTACCTTGAATGTTGCAACAAATGACTACCTATAAGTACAAGCAGAAAGGTAACCCCCAAGGTCACCATGAGTCCTGCCACACGGTATCTCCAGAGCTGGGTGGCCAACAAGTGGAGGGTCATCTCTCAGCAGTCCAACCTGACCACACTTTGTCTTCTAGTGGTTTCCTGTCTGTGAGGAGCTCCTAAGAGTGGGACTACTGTCAGCAGATTAAAGACATTGGCACAACCCTAACCTCACCTTCCTTAAGCTGATCAGTCACATGTGTCAACAGGACTTTAGCATGGAGCAGTAAATAACTGTTTATCGTGCAAAAAAATATATATATATACTAATGATGCTGGAAACGTGTGTGCTGTTTGTGTGTGTGTGTGATGTGCATACACAGTACACATTGTCAGTAATGTAAATTACTAAAAAAGCATTCAACTCTACGATTAAAGTAAATAAATATCATGGCCTAAATTTTGTTTGGTAAATGTAAGTACTGATTAGTATTGAAGAGGGCTTAAACGATGCAATTAGTTGATTAATAGAAAATGAACTATTTTAATCATCATCATTTAAAGGAAAGGGTAACCTAAATATAACTGGACCTGCATTTAAAGAAGTCATCTTTGGTTTTGGGAATTTGATCAAACTAACAAGACGAAACAGATTAATCTACAGAGTGCTCGTCAGATTAATAGATAATATAAATCAACTTTAGTTTCACCCCTGGCTTTGAATAACTGGTGTGTTTCCAGCACAAGAATCCAAACGCCTGGGGGAATAGTGAAATCGAAACTGCATGCTATTTTCTCTCCATTACTCCCAGTCCCTGCCTTGTTTCGTTTGATGCCTTGCACGTATTCGAGTATTTTCACGTTAAAATAAACGGGCAGTGAAATGATCGGTCTTGCCGTCTCTTCCACAGTACTGTGTTTAACTGGCGTTCCCATCCCCCACGCCGGCTTCTTGCTCTTTCATCCCCCACTGTAGAGCAGCCTTTACTGGGCATGCGGGAAGTGGGTGAGAGGCGGGTGGGGGCGCTGCAGAGTCGTACGGGCCGTCCCTGCGATACAATCTACCGAGAGAGGGGGGTGAAGGGAAAAAACCGACTGGGTAGGTCGGTCTTTGTTTCTGGCTAGGAGGAAAACCAAGAGGCATTGTAGCCGGTGAGGATTCAGACATCACCGTTCACCACTTGTGTAAGTCAGCTATAATTTTGCTGTGAAGTGAAGAGAGATCTGTCTGTGTTTTGCGCTGCTGGTGGAGGATAACATGTGCTTTAACAGGGTATTTTTCTTGTGGCGAAAAGGACGAGACCGACATTACAGTGCCGCTGCTGTGGCGCGACACTGTGCAATGAATGAAAATTGTTTTTGGAAATGTGCTTAGAGCGGAGCACCGATCCAAGGGTAGCCTACGGGAGGCGCGTTGGATCAATCAGCTCCAGTGATGAGGGATGCTCTAACTAACCTTTCACTTGTCGCCGCATCTGGCCAAACATCTCGCTAAACAACACATTTTGTGCTTAATTGGCCTGGTGGAGCATGGCCGGCTAGGCTAACTCAACTAGCTCGCTAGCATGCTAAGCACCGTCAGCAGCCAGCTTATGTTGTGGTATCAATACAGGCTTATACCTAGCAGGCTAGTCCGAGCCGGGCTTGTGCTCTTTGTAGCTTTACCGTCAATTTAGTGTACGTTTACGGTAAACCTGTTGTTCAGCGAAGATCAGCAAACGTTGTGTTGCATTATGTGAAGCAGGAGGTGAAAACGATGGATTTACAGTAGGCGAACGGACATAATGTACCGTCAACTATTAAATCCGGCTAGGCCAGGCTAACGCTAGCAAAGCTACCAATGCTAATAATAGCCAGCTTGAGTTAACTGTGATTTCCTTGTAAATATAAACATTGTAAAAACTGGACGGACACAAAGGCTTTACACTGAACAGCTGTTCTCTCAATCACTTTTAATAGACGTCTCTGTGTGTGCACTGAATGGGTTGTATCTTGTTGGATAGAGTCTCGTCTAACTTGCATGGATTTTTTTTTTTCCGCCATAGTTTTGACTCATGAAAGGGCAGTTTAAATTACCTCTTTACGGTCCACTGTGTGTATGAAGCTCACATTTTGTAGTACAGTTACATCTCTATAGTCCTTAAATTGTTAATTACATGTACGATATGTACCGTTAATGTTGTAAATACTCCTGTTCCATTCAGCAACTGACCATCTGTCACAATTTAAGGGTTCAGTGCATCACTTAATAACAAAAACTTGGTATTTTCCTGTTATTAGTTTTGGTTCTAGTTCACACAGCAACAGAGGGGCATTTTGTGTGTGGTATGCGCTTTGCTAAACAACAAACAATATATTTGAAGAACACAACAAAATTATAAGATAATAACTTAACGAGCAATGATCCACAGAGGTTAATAAGAGCTACTTTCACCACCAACTGCCTGAACTGTTGACTACACACTTATATCTGATTGTGATTGACGGTGTAACCATAGTTTACATATGTAATATTACAGTGCTTTGTGAGCTTGTTATTGGGGTAAGCTCTGGCTGTTATCTCTTGTCTGGTGAATTTGTACCTTCAGGAACAGATGAACTGTCCCTTAAAACGATATAAAGAGTTTCCATTAACTCTATTTTGCAGTCTTCAGTGTTGTATTCAAAGAGTTAGCACACTAAAGTAATCACATTTGATTATGTGGAATAGGTTACTCTATAATTTGGACTTGGACGGCAACTACTGTGTGAAAGGAATTTTCTATAAAGTGGATATTTTAAATATATGGATTCTGATCATTGCTTCACAGGGGTACTTGCTGCTGGCACACATTTCCAATTACCTGTGAGAGATGTCCACTCCTGACCCCCCGATGGGAGGGACACCTCGGCCCGGACCCTCCCCGGGCCCAGGGCCATCTCCGGGAGGCATGCTGGGCCCGAGCCCAGGCCCCTCTCCAGGCTCAGCCCACAGCATGATGGGGCCCAGCCCAGGACCCCCTGGATCTGGACACCCCCACCCTCCACAGGGACCGTCAGGATATCCTCAGGACAACATGCACCAGATGCACAAAGTACTGAACAGTTTTTTGTTTTTATTTTATACCCTGCCTTCATTAAAGTATTTTCCTACAAGTTTGAAATTACAGTAAATCAGTTCCGTAGTGGTTTATGTTCGTCTTTTGATCTGAACGTTTTGCGATTATTTAGTAGCCACTAACATTTCATCCGTTTGCCAAAGATTTTGTAATTGCCTGCTAGTGTGTTGCCAGTCTTAATCTCAATAACTATATTACAAACTAAGACTATTTAAAACATATTGCTTAAATAAAAGTTACAACCTCACATGAACATTTGTCATGTATGATTATTTTCCCTCTTTTAATCAGCCCATGGAAGCCATGCATGAGAAGGGAATGCCCGATGACCCCCGCTATGGACAGATGAAGGGCATGGGCATGAGACCAGGGGGGCACAGTGGAATGGGACCCCCTCCAAGTCCCATGGACCAACATTCCCAAGGTAGCATATCGCACAATATTGTGTTTTATGTAGCCTGTGTTGTAAGTTCTAGAGAGATGAAACATGAGTAAATACAGTCTGGTGTTAATATTTGTGGTGTGCTCGCAGTCTGCATGCCTTATGGTTGTCAGTTGGAATCCTCAAATAACTTGAGTTGTGTACAAAGTCAACACGCAGTGGGTGAAAGAAAGATTAAAATGAAGGATCTGCTTTTTGTCCCTGAAAAGCCCCACACAGGAAGAACGGATAACTCAGCCACGCAGACATACTGTACTGTTTGTGTGTTTGTGCGTGTGTGAGAAATCCATCCAGCCGGTTTCTCTTCTTGTGTTGCTGCTTGTTTGGCAGCATGAGCAGACAGTAATGGGCTGGGCCACGAGAGGGGCGGGGTTCAGTGGCTTCCCCTTTCAGACAGCAACAAAGGCAGCTGCAAGTACAAAACCACAGAGTCAGTAAGGAAGAAACACACACACATATAGGGACACTAACAGCAATGTGTATGAAATGGAGATGGTTCTATAGGCAAAGAGCACCTTGTATAATTTACATCTGGTCAGTATTTGGACTAAACTAAATGGAACAAAACTGCATGTTACTTAGCCTTATAGTCAGTATTTTAATTGTCATCATGACCAAATGTGGCTTAGTTGTTAAAATGCTTTGAAGCTTCTAAACTTTACTCATGGTCAATATGTCCTCTGTATCATATGAAGAACTTTTGGATTGTTTTGGCATACCCATCATGCATCTCTTCTGTGTTCCTCAGGTTACCCCTCTCCATTGGGTGGCTCGGAGCACGCACCTAGCCCTGTCCCAGCCAACGGCCCTCCTTCTGGACCTATGATGCCCGGAGGTCCCTCTGGCCCTGGGGCTGGCCCTATGGAGGGCAGCGGGGACCCTAACCAGGGAATGGGTCAACCTAATCGTGGGGGTCCCCAGGGTCCAGGTGGACCCGGTGGTGCGGGAGGTGGACCTGGTGGACCCACTCCTTTCAACCAGAACCAATTGCACCAACTCAGGGCTCAGATTATGGCCTACAAGATGCTGGCACGCAGTCAGCCGTTACCAGAGCACCTGCAGATGGCTGTGCAGGGGAAGAGGCCCATGCCAGGGATGCAGCAACAGCCGATGCCCAACATGCCGACTTCTACAGGGCCTGGAGTTGGCCCTGGAGCTGCTCCGGGACCAGCTCAGGCCAACTACAACAGACCACATGGTGAGCAAAGTGAAAACCCTCAGGGAGCCTATTTAGTGTATTTTTGTGACGTGCCTTTTATGAAAATGATATCCAAACATATTTTTAATGTAAGCTTCAAACAAAGAAAGCTGATATCTGTGAAGGCTCAGCAGAGACACCTGGTGGCTGAACATGAATTTGTTTGTTTTTAGCTGTTCCAATGTTTACTAATTACCTGAGATATCAAATTGTTCCTCTTGTTTTAGGCATGGTAGGTCCCAACATGGTGCCTCCTGGACCTGCAGGAGTACCCCCAGGTATGCAAGGCCAGCCTACCAACGGACCCCCTAAATCATGGTCTGAAGGTAAACTTTATCTTGACCTTAGACTCACCTCTGTCAGTGCTGTGTATGTTATGTGCACATGTGGCAAAACTGACTTCTTCTGATTTCTCTCTTCCAGGACCAATGGTGAATGCTGCTGCCCCAGCCAATCCTCCTCAGAAGCTGATTCCACCTCAGCCCACTGGCAGACCCTCTCCTGCTCCTCCCTCTGTTCCCCCCGCTGCCTCCCCAGTAATGCCCCCCCAGACACAGTCCCCAGGACAGCCTGCCCAGCTCCCTCCCATGATGCTTCACCAGAAGCAGAACCGCATAACACCCATCCAAAAACCTCGTGGGCTGGACCCAGTGGAGATCCTCCAGGAGAGAGAGTACAGGTGAGACAAGTCGGGGAGTAATGTGGTAAAACTGCATCGGTGTTTACACCATACAGCATTTATAGCCATAGCTAGTTCACAGCACCTGTGATTAGATGGGCCTTCATACAAATACACAGCTCAACAGGAAAACGCGTACCAAACAAGACTAAACACAAACAATAATAAAATTTAAAAACAATAAAACCCTGTTAATGGCCCCACAATTATTCATCACTACATGTTGATCCCTCTTTAAAAGTTGAGTTTAAAATGATCAGATAATCTGTTTTGAGTTCTGTTTGTAGTTCAACATACTGATCATCTGTATAGAGATTGATGTCTGAGGTTTATTAGCAGAGGACATTACAGTTCCCTAGTTACACCCCTAACATATGAAAAACCTTTTTAAATCCATTGCCCTGTAACCTTTAATTTATTAGTCCTGGGAACTACTGAATGAAAAGCAAATTGTTTTCTTTAAGGGAGCTCTGATCGATCGGTCACTGATCGTAATAGGCCAATAATGGCTTTAACTAGTTTGATCGGTGGTCTCTAAAAAGGCAGATCAGATGATGCAATACTCCCCAGTAGGGCTGAACCCGAATATTTGACCGTTGGGTACACATTCGATTTTCAATTTTGAGATTCGATTATTGAAATTCGGGCCAGCCCTGCTCACCAGCTAAAATGGTTTCACTAAGCGGTCTGAGCTATTTTCACGTTTACACTGGCACGCGCATGGCACGTTTTATCAAAGAAGTTAAATTGGTTTTAATGTCTGTAAATGAGAATACCACGCTTCAGCAAACAAAATTTACCATTAGTCCTTCTAATTGTGGATTATCAGCCTGAAGGCTAGAAAAATTGTGGTTTGAATTTTTGGTCATCATTAAAATAATCATTTTAAAAAATGTGTTCTTCAGGCTACAGGCCCGTATTGCTCACCGTATCCAGGAGTTGGAGAACCTGCCTGGTTCTCTAGCTGGTGATCTGCGCACCAAGGCCACCATCGAGCTCAAGGCCCTGAGGCTGCTTAACTTCCAGAGACAGGTAGCCATGAAGTCATCTGCAAGAAAAGACAAGTGTAG